TTAGACTTAGTTTTCATCTTTTATTTGTTGTGTGATATTTTATTCAAAGAGAACAGGGACAAGATATTTTAAAGTTACTTTTTTCGGTGTAGAAATAAGCGGCAAAAACGTCAACTGTCATTAAAAATCTGACCACTCCGACATCAAAGGAGCCGACTCAAGCTGTCGCTACTGAATTATACTGGGGGTTGGACCCTTGGACCCCAAAATGGCGGTGTGCGCGTAGCGTTGCCGCCAAGACAAGTTAGCCTGCCGATTGTTTCTTATGCCGTGGCTATGGTATAGAAATTTATGACTTCCTCATACTAATTTTAAGGGTTTGTTTTGGTTCAAACAGAACCGCTGATTCCAGTTCTCAAACACAGTGGACGAATTAATTTTTCAAGAACACGTCGCGAGCTTATAATAACCTCTTAGCTGATCGTGTGTTACTTTGTTACGTGAAGTGGTTACAATGTTGCCAAGTTGTAATAATTTTACGAAACTACTCGTCAACTGCTTTAAAAATATTTTTATTTTAAAAATCTATATCTTTTTACTAAGACGGTCAAAAAATTCAGCGATTATTTATAAAATTTTATACCTTCTTGATTTATTTAACATTAGTTTTTAAAAAATATGGTAAGAACCGTTTTCGAGATATCTTGAAATAAATGCATTGCTTGTGTACATGATAGGCTTCAAGAGTGTTAATTATGCACATTTTGATTGTTAATATCTCGTTTCACAGACGGTCAAAAAATCTAATTTTTTTTAGTTACGTAAACGACACTTTCATAAACCTTATATTTCAATTTTATTGAATTCTTAAGAAAAGCCGGTTTACGAGTGAACTACCTTAAGGTACTTTTAAACGGTCAATTTAAAAAAAATATGTGCTTGAGTTTTGACTCGCTCTGTACATATTTGTTTCTAACTAAAAAAGTAGTGCATAGGCATACATTTTGACTAATATCGAAAACCTTTTACCGCAAAAAATTGGTTTTCAATTGTTTATTTTGCACTATACAGGTCATTGAAATCAATAGGATTTTTATATTAAACTGGTTGTAGCCTGTATAATCTCATACTATTTGGTATTGTTATAATGGGAAAAGAGCGCAATTCAAATATAAAATACCACGGTCCCTTTTAAATTGTTATCTTTTCTGATATACATCTTAAAAATCAAATAGTTTTGGCTCCACAAACAGGCGTTACCGGTGAGGCGGTGACCCACCCTGTAGAATAGTATCTAAGTACTATAACGTTTGTTTGTTTTAAACAACAGTTTATTTGTCAATAATTTATTTGAACACCTATTTATTATAATTTATATATTTTGAATGTCTTTAAATTGTTCACTATTTATCCTCACAACTCAATGTATACGACTGACTGGTCCGTGTTCTTCCTCCAATATTTATATACACATTGAATATTCTGGTGAAAATCTAGAATACTTCCGCCAAAACTAGAAACATCACGTTCGTTCTGGAAGGTAATCGAAAGCGCCTTCGCCAAAGTCGTTTACATATGTTTGGTCTTAAGGGGTTTAATTATGTATGATAATCGGACAAGTTGAGCCTCAAAGACCAAATAAGACAGAGAGGGACTTAGAGGATTAGAGCATGACTGAATAATGAAATGGTTCACATTACAGTACTTAGGTTAGAATAATAAAGTGTGCTGAATTAAAACAAACAAAAAACGTCCCTGCCTAATATTATAAAAGTGCTGTTTTGCCAGGGACCTACAGACATGGGCGAAGTTAGGGGGGAGCTAAGCCCCCCAAAAATAATTCGAACATTTATCGCACACCCTCCCACACAATTCAGAACAGAAATTAAAAAACAAAAAAATCGTGCTATTTGATTAATTCTGCAATTCTACATTTAGTCTAGGATTTACGAAATTGACAAATGAGTCTGGCAACATCTTCAAAATCGGAAAAATATAATATTTTTGCTTTTGTTTCCACAGGTTTTAAATTTTGTCACATGATAGATTATATTATAATTATTTTACATCTCTATTTTATAGCCGTTCACATGCTGTTATTTTAAAACGCTTCCATGACGACCAGAAAAAATTCCGGAAATTTTTCTCCTGGTAGGAACCCTGAACAAAATTATACTGAAATGTTTTTTGACATTTGAGAAGCTAAAAATAAACTTTCAAATAAAAGATGTTTTTAAACATTTTAATTATTTTTTCTATGTTAAAAATCTACAATTACGATCTTGTCTACAATAAATATGAATGTATAATATCAAAAGTGAAAAACTAGATAAAATGAATAAAATCCTAATCAGCGGTTTCCTAGAAACTAGTAACTCGGATAACGCCAACATCCGCAGGATCGTGAAGTACTGTTACTAGGGCTAATATAATTAGCTCTTTCATGCATATGGTAATACGACGCAACTAGCTAGAAATACACTATATTTTTTTTAAGTAAAATAATAATTAGGTTTTTCGGGTCAACTAAATGACTTCAATTATGACAAATTGCCATGGTATGGCCAACTTTGCAAATTTGATTTTAGTCGTTTTATTGTATGTCTGTCAAGTTTTGAAATTTTGGTGTAAAATTTTCTTACCGAATACCACACGTGTCTAAATTACAATCAGTAAATTTTTGCTGACTCACGAATTTTTTAAGAAAATTATCCCTCGTCTTCGACTCTGCATATTTTTCAAAATATTCGTAAATTCGAAAAAAATTATTTCGAAAATAATTTAGGCTAGAGAAAATACACGTCTGGCTGAGATTTACAATCACCAAGGCCGGCCAGACTCACAAGTAGTGTCCGACCGAAGGTTCGGTTATGATTTTTGCCAACTTCGGCCTAAAATAAGAGTTTCGACTACGGTTTCGGCGGAAAACTGGTCGAAACTGTAGCCGATAGGGAAACTATTTTCACATCACACTTGGTGGTGTCCGGCACAATGGCGACTGTGCCGGTTGCCTTTCCACACACAGTGCACGTACACACAAACTTCTGTACTGTGTTCCAAGTGCTCCTGGCCTAATTTATTCGGATCGGAGGAGCAATTTTTTAGGTGAAAACATGGAAAAAATATTTCTATCCTACAACATTAAACTGTTTACTTATGAATATTAATTTAATTATAAGTAATATTTTTTAGCTGAATTCGTGTTTTTTTTTTTTTTTTTTAATAAAAATTATACGATATGTATAATTCCCATTATAATACTATTTTTTGTTACAAAAAATCTACTACAGATACAGAAATGATTGCTACTTTCTAATTGACTTATTTTTTTTAATTTCAAAATGTAATAAAAAACTGTCAATAAATTTATTAATGGCTTCTTTTGATCACACGAATAAACAGGTAATGACTAAATGTAGCTAAAATTTAAAATACGACTTAATTAGTCTAAAACAAGGATTACAATAAGATATTGCAAATTTCAATAAGAAATTGCCTTAAAAGAAAGTTTCGGTTTCGGCCGAAACTAATAAAGGAGCCGAAATTTGGATTGTTTCGGTTATAAATCCCGGTTTCTGATGGACCTGACAAGCCAGGTATTGCAAATATATTTCATATCCATTCTATATAGGTAATGAGAACACCGCAAAAAAATTAAATTCACCAATCACAGTTCATATTCTGGACACCCAACTATTATTTTTAAAATTTGAAATTCTAACAAACTAATTTTATTTTTAGTTATTGAGATTAAATACACATTCAAATGAGTTATTTTTGTTTAAAATCGATAAAAATAGCATTTTTATTTAGGCCACATTTTGAAAAAAAAAAAATTTTTATTAAATTATATGAAACTAATTTAATTACGAGTATTAAAACTAAAAACCTAAAAGTGCCGGTGGAGCTAAGGACAGAGCATCTGCCTTCCATGCGAATAGCCCGGGTTCGAATTTATTTCAATTTATAAATTAATACCCCAAATTTTGTACAATTAGGATTAGCAATTTACGAGATAATTGGCCGTTTCCAGACTTTTGGGCCACTCCGTATTATATTAGAAGACTAGGCCCCCTAGATTTGATGACATAACTTCGCCCATGCCTACAGACTGTGTTGACTAGTTACTACAACAAAAACAACGGAAGAAATACTACCTGTCGGATCGCCTAAACTGCTTTAATAAGGTTTAATAAATTGTATATATCTTAAGGGCCTTTCAAAAGTAGCACACTAGACTCTTCAAGCATTAGACTATATAATAACCAATCAGAACAAGTACTTACTTTCTTATTTTAAATGTTTATTTTCAATTCACTTTTATATCTATTGCATATCTATTTTAACTTGGATTGGTTATTAAATAGCTAATAACACACAATGAAATTGATAGAATATCGAATCGAGATTTGGGTTAAAATTTAGATGTCATAGTTATAAATAACCTTTTAACCTAACAGTTAAAATTAACTAAAATGTTACAGAATAGACCCCATAATTAATTATTTATTATCCCTACAATAAGTCAGGTAAACCATGTTCATGTTTCTAATCGGTGTTAGAGGTTAAGAATACACAAAAAAAAGGCAATTAAACTAACAATTTATTATTAAATACCTACAATTTTAATTTATAAATGTAAATTAAAAATATATAATATTCAATCAATAATTTTTTAACAATTCAAAAAATCGTTCTTATACAAAAAAAATTAACAAATACTTGCAGTCTTATAAAAATTTTAAATAGAAAATATTGCTAAAATATAAATGTATAATTTATTCCAATTTCAAATCAGTTCTCATTGATTTCATATTTTCTTCAGATACATTTTTTAATGGAGGTCGACATACGCCCACATCGATTGGTGATACTAGACTCATAGCAGCTTTCATCGATGATACCCAAAAACCTATTTAATTTGAATATTATTTACTACACAGGGTGGTCCAATTTATATCATCAGGATTTCATCAACTGATAGTTTATCGAAAAATAAAGGTACTTTGTCCAATAATCCAATTTCGATTTCTTTTTGAAGTACATGTTCAGGTATTCAGAGATGTGCAAAACTGTTAGTTTTAATTTTTTTTTTCGAAAAAAAAAAAAATGAGAAAAATGTTGTAATTTTAGTGTTTATTAAAAAAAAATATGAAAAATATTTTTTGTGATGAAAACTAATAGAAGTGCCCTGAGAGCATGCTTCTGGAATTGCTGGATCAACTGTAAGATGCCCAAAAAGGAATCAAATTTATTTTTGGATGCACTGTAGGCTGGTAAAATTCTGAACTGGATCACCCAGTAATCTCATTATAAGCGGAGTTTGAGAATCCACATCAGATGCATCAATTAATGATTAAAAATAAATTATTTTTGTCTCCTGGAAACAAGATAAAATAGAACAAAGTGTATATTTACCAAAATTGGAAATTGTAGTACAGTTGCTATTTAATTGTTTCTGTAATTTTCTAGCTTCACTCATTTTTGATTCCTTTGCAGCATTAATTAAAGACATAACTTGCTGGGGGTAAATGTTTGCGGATGCCAATATTGCTGAATCAAAACCCATAGAAAAAGCCATAGACACTAGCTGAAAATCGAGAATAAATATCTATACAACTTTGTGAGGCAATATTTATTGATAACTTAATCTATGTATTTAAGTATTATACTCACTGAGTCAACTCCAAAGAAAATTGCATATTTTCCATTATCTAAAAGGGCTACACCATCATCTAAATCATTAGATACATACTCTAATCCACAAAATGTTGGAATGTACATTGCTGAATTGTTCAAAAAGTTAACCATATTTACTAAAACAAATATATCAAGTTGTAAATAAGGAGATACGTTTTTGCTATCCATACTTACAATTTACCCCTGTCATTTCTGGGTTATGATTATATAAGAGAGGAGTCTTTGGAGCAGCTTCACTAATAATTTTTAAGTAGTCCACTAAATCTTCTATTGATGAGGGTTTAAAATAAAGTTCTGGTAAACAAAGTATTGAATCCACCCCTATGCTTTCCACATGTTTTACCAAGTCTATTATTTCAGGTAATGGGCAAGCACCTACTTGAACCATAACATGCATTTTTAGAGGCTTAGCTACATTTACCCATTCTTCAATAGCAAGTTTTTGTTCAGCTATGGACATAGACATACCTTCACCAATATCACTATTTACTGAAAAATAACTATATACACTTATTTGTATTCAGGAATAATTTAGATAATTAAAATTCTGATTTTTTCAGCTACACATACCTACATACCTAAAATACATTTGATTCCACTATCAGAAAGGTATTGTGAATATTTTGCAATTTGTCCTACTTTAAGTGATCTAAAATGAAAGTAATTCTTTAAATACTCATCTCCGTTAATAATAAATATACACTTACAAGTCATCCCTGAATATATTGAAGACGGGCACACAAAGACCTCTAAATGTAAATTTTATCTACAAATAGAAATATTTTTTGAAACAAGGTGAAGGGATATGTAAAGACAAAAATATTGAACAATTTGATCAAAAAAACTACATTGTACAGTTTACAAAAAAAAACTTGATCTTATACCCACTTACTTTTGGTTCAGGATCATCTGGGTCAATATAAACCTCTATAAACTCTGATGCCTGTAAAAGAAAACATTACAGGTAATTTCTTGAAAATTAATATACCTACTTTACAAATCAGGAGGTAGAGAAAAACTTGCTCAGATGTTAACACTCAATTTAAAATGCAATAAATTATTTACTTGCATATCATCAGAGGAGGCATCATCATCCTCATCTTCACTTTTTCTTTCTTTCTTTAGACCACTTTTGTTGCCTTTGTTCCTCTTTAATCTTGAGTAGTCTGCGTTTGGTTCCTATTAAAAAATGCTACATAACCAGGCACTCTTATATTTTTAATACAAACCTCTATTTTCTCCAGAGGATGGTTATGCTTAATATTCATAGCTACTATTTGTAAAGCTACGCCGGAGTTTATTAATTTTATTCTAAAATAAGCGGGACACTCCGTTTTTGGACTAAAAATAAAAAGCGAATGTCAATTTTCAGTATTCTAAAATTAAACTCGAAAGACTTATGTAAAAAATAATTTGTAATACATTTTAATGGTCCTCATTTTTCTTTTCCTGTTGTGTTCCTTAATCTTATGAGTACGACCATATACACAAATTAGTTTTAATTCTGAATAAACAAAACTTTCTTTAGCGCTCGCAAATTCATTAGTAATTAATCTAGAGTCTTTTGTGGTAAACTTTGTATTTGTAGCTTCGCAATAATCTCCCAGCTTTTGCATTAATTCATTATAACTTTTGAAACAAGATCCAATTTCAAAAGAATCCATTTTCACAAATTATAAACTCACAGCAACGAAGTATTGCGAAGACTTCATTGACATTTCGTTACGTAAATGTGAGGTTAGGTATTATTTGATATTTGACATCTTCGTTTTTTTAATTGTAACTATTGTAAGTAGTGTAAATAGTCTTGACTAAAGTGTTACAATTGACTAACAACATCAATGCAGAATAGCAATAGCAGAAGAATAAGAAATTAACCAATAACGCAATACGTGTCAAATAGTGAATATAAAATTTAAAAATATTTTTTAATTCTTAATGTCTAAGAGGTCAAAATTTGGTTTATTTTTATTAATAGGCATGATCTTTTACGAAATATGAAATTAGAGATGGTTACTCAAATTTACATATTACTATTAATATGCTCAATTAAGGGTTCCGTTCAATTGAGTCGGGAACCTAAAGATGAATCGCTCCATAAAGTAACTAAAAAGGAATTTATAAATAATCCAGATGATAAAATACCACATTTAATTGTTCATAAAGAAACTGTTAAATTGGACACCAATACTACCAATAGCACAAAACCACCATCAAAAGGCAAAGTAAGCGGGAATGTTAAAGTCACAGAAAATGATTCACCACAAATTGAATCTGGTACTGTGATTAGAGGAGTTCTAGTTTTTGTTGGAATTAGTATGATTTTTATTCTTTATTTAGGATGTAAAACCTACAGGTAAGGTTTTAAATTAAGTTGAAAAATTGTGTTTAAAACCATCCATGATATTTTTCAGTTTGAAATACATGACTATTTTGATACTGGGTATCTAAGTTATTTAATTTAACATGAATTTATTATATTCTCATATTTGACATTCAACAAGTTTATGTATATAAAAGCTAGAGCTTATTTTTGTTCTTTATATTTTTTAGAAAAAGAAATTTGAATGTTATAGTTAGGAAATATGGAGTGAGAACTAGAAGGTCTGATGTTGAAATGAGGCCACTCCCATTAGATGATGATGATGAAGATGAGACTGTTTTTGATGTAGGAAATTTAAATAAGTCCTAGCATTGAGTGCTAATTTTTACAAAATAAGTATGTAAATATGAAAAGTATGGGCATCATAGAGATTTTTATACTTGGTTAAACCATAAATGATTACTTTTTCTCAGCATGAAGGTATAAAAGTTCAGACTTCTTTTTGTAACATTATCAAAACCTATTATTCTGAAAGTATACAAATATGTATAGATTAAAACACCTATTATGAGTGGCATTTTTCTTCATATTTACATAATAAAAATAGTGTTTGTACTTATTGTTAATATTGGTTTTAATCACTAAAGACTGTTGAATGGATGCAATATTTTTAATAAACTAATAATTGTTACATAATATGATTTAATTTATATAGATATTTAAAACAGTTTTTAAGATATAATTTTTAATAAATTGTATTAACTATGTGTTTTAATAAACATTTACCTTCAGTTACGAACCACTGCAAATATCAACGCTCGTAAAGAAGAACATCGTAACTCGAAAATTGCTGTTCTGCAGAAAACATTCAAATTTTAAGTTTTTTTTATTAATTACAATACTGCATAGTTGCCAGGCATTCTGACTGGTCAATGCCAAATACAGAAGCATTCCATTGGATGGGGTTGACAGAATCTGCATTCTGCAGGGGGCGCCAACAGGAAGATGACACTATCAAGCATATCCTCTACGGCTGCTCTATGCTTTCATTTATTAGAAGATTTGTATTCGGCAAGTACCAGCTAACACTGGCCAATATAAGAGAAGCACTTCTTGGCGTTGTCAACTACATTAAATCTGTAGGCTGGCTCAGAAGCTAGGATGTGCCTATTAATTTAGGAGGATGCACAATGGGCCTGGTGAGGTCTAAGTGCCTTAGGGTAACCCACATGTTTCAGATAGTTCTGAAGTAATCATAATGAATCAAGTAAAAAACAATATCTTCTGTCTACTTCAGATGATATAGTATATTTGTAACATAATAAAATGGTGATCCATGCAGATTTCAAACAAGTTTAGTTATGATAAAATTACCTAATTTAAGTTATTAAGTACAGATCATAATTATAGTTGCGATAATCTTTGGGCCACTTTTTTACACAGACGAGTAAAATTAATTTTTCCATAAAATCAGAAAGCCTCAAAATTGTGCAATTTAATGGAAAGACCAGATGTTTTTAAACTGAAATATAGTCTTACCTAAAATTCAATTATGTAAAAAATTGATATAGGATGGTATTATTTGCGAGCGTCAATATAATCAATTTTTATAAGTATATACAAATTAGCTCCTATAATAAAGTAATTAAAAATTATTGACTGTTCTCCTGCGATCCCTGATAAACTATCTCTAAAGCAGTTGTTATGGTGCGAACATCTCCTTCGATAGCTTTTGCCCAATTTTCAACATCACCTAACTCTTTTAATGCACTACTGAACTGTTCCACTAAATTTAGCCATTGTTGGGTTTGCTTTGAAAAGTTGGTTGCGCTAATATGTAGTTGTTTGGCTTCTGCATCTAGTTTCTTTTGATTTAAGTATGCTTGGGCAACACCAACATTGAGATGGTCCACTAAAGCCTGGGTTAGATCATTCGCTGCCGTACAGGCTTCTTTTCGTTTCACCTCTTGAAGTTCTTTTTTTAATATCTGTTTCGTCTGATGTTCTTTTACCATTGAAGCCAACATTATTTATATTTAGTTAGAATATTTTATGATAGTGTAATACTCAAAGGTTTGTTCTGATTCTCAAAATGAAAACAGTTTTGAAACTACGCCGGACCGTGTGCCTAAAGTCAAAAAAAACCCGACTGTTGGAAATTATGGAAAACTACACATAAATGCGTTTTATTTATTGTTTATTAAGTTCAACTTTGTTTGACATATAATCACAGATCACTTAACTTTCATAATCACGATTTTTTTTTAGGTTAGAAAATTGCATTATCGATTTTTTCATTCGAAGTAATTAGGCATTCCAACGACCTGTCCAAATGGCTACCAGTGGGTACTGACAGTTTAGATATGGCAACCCTGTTGTCATGTTGTCATTAACAGGGTCAATGATACATATGTGTTATATACATTGCTCAAAGCTGGTCGTTTGCGAGCAGCCATATTGCCTGGCAAATATTTATTAATTTGAATCAGTTTAGCCAAAATGTGTTTTAAAACCAATTTTCAGACTTTAGATATTTAAAAAATAATAATTGCTTATATTTTTACTTCAAGGCATAAGCTTATGTTTATTTTAAAAAATAGGGATGATCAATCTATGTAACTATCTATTTCACTCACCTTGTCAAATCACCAGGCCTACAGACATTGCGTTCGGTTTGCCACGTTCCTTTAACTCCTTTAACACTTTTAACTCCAAACGACTCTTTTAGCGTTCGGTTTAGTCCGATCAGTTTAACACGCTTAAATATCATTTAAAAGCACCCTAAAATTTGTCCCGCTCCAGCCCCTGACTGACCGAACTCGCCTAGAGTTGCCATAACTTTGCCACACTCAGGACCGATTCCACCGTTGTGTTAAACGAAGTTTAAAATGACATTTTAACATTAACAATGTCATTTTAATCTCCGTTTAACACAACGGTGGAATCGATCCTCAGATAAACAAATGAAAAATAGATACCTAACGGACGCCGTTTAACACAGGCTTTGTTTGAAGCCAGTATCTACAAACTTTTGACAGCTGTGGTACTGAGGTCTACATGGGCGTATCAAGCAGTTTTTTCATCGGAATCCGAAGGATTATTTTGTAACGGACGGATTTAAAGAAAAATGCAACTCGAACATAAAATTTTATTTTACAAAAAGTAAACTACGCTATTTTTTAATGAAATTATAAGGAAATAACACGTAATGTAATAGCGTTCTATGTGTTCTAACTTAACTCTTTGATAGGTAGCGATATTTGAGTTCGTGTGTAGATTGTGAAATACAAAAATAATAAAAATAGGGATAAAGGCCATTTTCGGCGCAATCTATTAGGTTAGGCCATATTATATGTTAAAATGGCAGTCTTCCTCCTGGCATTTTGACAATATAATAAAATAATCAGGATACAATAAGTCTAATTATAATTACATTAAAGTTTATTAATACTACAGCAGGTTAGGGTAACCATACATACAACATTTCACTATATTTGCTGCTTTTGAAAAGTAACTTTTTTTACTCGAAGCCGTTCTTTTATTATATCTGTGGCTTCTCGATAAGATCTGCTCCGTGGTCTTTTAATGCAAAGCTGGTACGTCTATTTACTCCGAATTAAATTTAAGCGAGAAATATTAACAAAAAACTTCAGACAGAAATTAGAACATTTTTAATCTAAAAAGATAATTATTAATTTCATCAATCCATGTGCAAAGGCTTATAATTATTGTGAATTACCTTTTAGGAGATGGCGACTTATAAATCTCTATACCTTTCACTAGATTCAGTAGGAGATAAAATAGCTCCTAAATTTTCCCTAAAAATATTTATAAATTAATATGCATACTAGACTTTTTTAATATGCAAAATAATAGTTTATGTTATTAGGACGAAAAGTTGAGTTTTTTTGGTTGACTACGAGAAGTTGGCAACTCTTAGGAGTCCGAAAATACACTTTTCGTCAGTGTTTCATACAATATTTTTTATTCGAATGTGCTTGAAGATATTAAAAAATATAGAAAATTAAATACAAAATGATATTATTTCCATTTTTTCTTATAATTGAAATGGCTGTGATCGATAAGAATAACTAGGTAGGTACATTCTTGATAACAATTGCTGTCATGTTAGTGTGCTTATGTTAAATCGATTTAATTATACTTCAAAATTAAAAAAGTTTCTATTCAAATTTGATGTAGGTATATGGATTATGGACTACTATTTTATAATAGCAAAAAAATATCATAAGCAGTATTAAAAGGTACATCAAAAATAAAACAGACAGTTTAAATAGCGGAGCCACTTTACTTTTGCGGCCTGGGCCCTAAAAGTAATTTTTAGTGGTTCATTTATTGTAGTATATTTAAAAGTTTACCTTTTCGATTATGTTTTCTGTCTGAAAAACGACGTTTTATGTCACATTCGAATAAAACCAAATTTATTTTTGAAAAAAATAGTTTTTTAAAGGATTTATGGCTTTCGTTATCTTCAGTGTCTCAGAAGATGCAAGCGACTTTAAAATAGTACATTTTCTTAAATTTTTAGTGTGCATTAATATTTACTTTACTTTATCAATTATTTTATTTAATAACTAAGTTTAAAATGTAAGAATAATTTGTAATAGATAGGTGTTATTTAATATTATTATAAAACTTACTTGTTTTCTGAAGATGGGCCAAGTTGAGCATTGAATAAAATGGGAATTACTCCTAACTTTAAAATCATCTTCCCGGAGGCATTCATAACAAAATCATCTGTTTTAAAATGTTCCGAACATATTCTGGAGTTTTTATTGATTTCATCAACTTCCTCAGTTTCTATTTGTAGGTTTTGAAACCAAATTTTTCTTATTTCAAGGTTTGTTGGAAAGCTGCATAAAAAATAAATAATTAATGAATTACCTGTTTCAATAATATGACAATATGGTTTACCATTTTATACCGCACCATCAAGTTTAAACAATGCAATAGGTGGCAATACTAACACAACTATAGAAAAGTAGCATTTCAAGAAAATTGCTGTTAAAATTAACTGTGTATGTTTACATGAAGAAGCAAAGTAATAATAATTAATGCGCCTTAAATTTGGAATAGAATACAATGTCTGGTGAAGTTGCATTTGAATTTTGTATCTTAACTCAAAATTGTGATTTTTTTGAGTGGCTTTGGGTATTGTGTATTGATGGTGTGATATATTCTTTTTTAATTAGGTACATAACGTAGTATCTGCATTAGTATTGACACATTAATATACCAATACTTAAATAAAAAAAAATACACAATGGTGTCTGGTGCCGCCTATGTGTTTTATTTACTTACCAATGAAAGGAGGTAGAACCACCCAAAAAAAGTATCTTTTAGAACAAATAATACACTTCTTAGTCATTTTTACCCTTAAAACTAATAAATATCGTTTAAAAAACACACTAGAAACTGAAAAACTTTAATAAGGCGTTCTGGGAATATAAAAACAGAAATTTTAAAATCAAAATTGACAATTCCCAACTGCTTATTGACAGTTGTGAGAAAATTTTGGCGCTGCTATTTAAAATAGACGAATCACATCGAAGACCATGGAGAAAGAGAAAGTAATAGATAAAACGGTTCATACTGGATTCAAACAAATCCAGACCGTCAGGCATCTATTATTTTGTTTATCTGAGTTGCCACATCATAACCTGTCAAAACCCACTGGTAGTCATTCAGTTTGGAATGCCTAATACAAGACGTCACTTTAAATTTCTATCTCTTTATGTCAACAAATATGTAACCTCAGGGGGTCGATTCTCGACTTGTAGGAATATTTTCCTATAGGAATTTTTGACATTTTTATGTACATCGAAAATTTATGACATTTTCCTACATATAGGAAAGTGTCACAAATTCCTATAGGAAAAGGTTCCTACAAGTCGAGAATCGACCCCCTGATAAAATAACACGATGAATTTATAAAACGTATGTCACTAATGAATATGTGGCGGCAACACCGTCAGCTACTAGAGAATCATACAGGTCCGGTATAAGCCATATATGTCGCAGGCTTATGGTAAAATCAGTCTTATTATACCTAATACGCCTAGGCTTTTTCAATACGACTAGGCATATTATAATACTACCCAAATAATTAGGAATCTCACAATTTGACTGATCATTTCAGGCGTCGATTGTTAGTCTTATTGTTAAATTAAATTGATGCGCAAGTGTTTTAGAATCCGACTAGATGAAATCCGTCGTATTATAATACGACTAATTATTTGCCAGGCTAATCGTGCTTATAATACAACTGGTATTCTATACTCGATTTTAAACATTCTAAACTATTTATAATAAAAATACAAATAATAGATTAGGATTCCACTCGACCATTCACTGTTGGGTTTTAATTGACATAGTGCTGTTCCTACAGTGGCGCTGGGAAACAGTAACAAAGCCTACACAGAACACGAGGCTAATAACGTTAGTAGTTAATGCCGATGACTCAAAAAAAAAGATTAGGATTATTTATTACAGCATGGTCCGCTTCTATGACATTTGCTAGTACATTTCATACGAGCTTTAAAACAAACATTTATCTATGGCACTGTGTCTTTCTTGGCTGGCAAAAACACTTTTTAAATCCCTTATTTTAAGTATAATTAATATTTTGCACAAATATTAGGTAGGTACAAAAAAATTAAAACATCTAATCAACTCAACAACAATGATGATTGCAATTCGCCTGGCACATTGTTAGTCGTATTATAATACGACGGATTAAATCTAGTCGGATTCTAAAACACATGAGCGTCGGTTCAATTTAACAACAAGACTAACAAGCGGCAGGCTTATTATAATACGCCTGAAATTATTAGTCAAATTGTGAGATTCTTAATTATTTGAGTAGTATTATGATATGCCTAGTCGTATTGAAAAAGCCTAGGCGTATTATAATAAAGACTGATTTTATAATAAGCCTGCGACATATACAAATGGAAAATAATAATTTAATGGTTTGATTGAGTTATATAAAATATAAAAATTAAATGTTTATTTTTTAATTAAACGACATTTTAAAATGGATACGTTTTCAATCAAAATAATATAGGCTAATACTTAAGTGTATACGAGTGTACTGAAAAAGAGATAATTTTACCCTTTACTCCAGTTTTTTGTAATGAATAAACCAGCGGTAAAATAGATATTTGTGTATCAAGGCTGTGTTTTGGCCGAATTAGACATATTCGTCCGAGTTTAAGCGAGTTCTGGTTA